ATTGCCATAATATTTAGCTGGGCAATATCATCTTTTTGCAGCATGTCCTTAGTGATCGTAAAGCGCATATCATTATTGGCCAGGGCTGAATCAGCGGGGCTTAACAGACCTGTGCGGATCAGCTCGTCCTTGCTTGGCGTAGGCAGCATAAAGTTCTTGGTCGGGTAGTAGTTTACCGGCTCATCTTCAATGGCCAGCTTCTTACCATCTACCATGAATTTACAGATCTCTTCCAGCGGGAAGAAACGGTCCTGAGGCACATTCGGCACACCCAGTTGCGGCGCCATAGCCGCCGTTATATAACGCAGGTAGTTACGGCGATCACCTAAGAAATCAGCGCGCTTCCATACCATCGGCACGGCATCCGCGTCATTAATTTTATAGCTCAGCTGGTCGATGTACCAATCGATACCCAATAAGCTGGTATTGATAACACGAACGTCCGTACGGATCCCTTCAATTTCCTGTAAGTACCACAGCGGATACGTTTCATTGTCTCCAAAAGTAAAGAGGACCGCATCTTTTTCACAGCTCATCAGGGCGTTGTAAGCCGTGGCGCGTGCCAGTGTTTTCTTAGAGCGGTTGTGGTCGTCCCATTCAACAGCAGCCATCAGGGTAGGTACGGCCAGCAGGCAAAGCAGTACAGTGGCAACGGCAGCAATGGGCCCTTTGATCGCCCGGCGCACCAGGTCATAGATCATCAGTACACCAATGCCGATCCATATAGCAAAAGCATAGGTAGAACCAGCAAAGGCATAGTCACGTTCACGAGGTTGCAATGGCGGCATATTGAGGTAAATACCAATGGCGATACCGGTAAAGAAGAAGAGCAGGGCCACGATAATACCGTCTTTTTTGTTCCGGTTAAACTGGTATACCATACCGCAGACACCCAGTATGAAAGGCAGCATGTACAGCGCATTACGGGCGCCATTATTGCGGTAGCCATCGGCCATCTTATTCATATCGCCGAGTCCTCTCATTTTATCAATAGCAGGAATACCGGTGATCCAGTTACCGTTCTTGGCTTCGCCCTGACCTTCAAAGTCGTTCTGGCGACCGGAGTAGTTCCACATAAAATAGCGCCACCACATCCAGTTCATCTGGTAGCCCAGGAAGTAGCTGATATTATCGCCACCGGTAGGGCGGGTATCACCTTCAATACCCAGGTATTCTTTATAGAAACGTACGTGCGCCGGGTCATTGCTGTCCCAGATCCGTGGGAAGAGACGCATTTTATCGTCTTCAAAAACATATTTAGGCTTTTTGCCCACTACTTCATAAAAGTCTTTGCCATCCTTCTGGCTCTTGGCATATTTATCTCCCTTACTTTGAATATCCGTAAGGCGGGCATCGAAGTCGGGGCCATAGAACAGCGGTTGCTCACC